CCTTATTGGACCTTTAACCAGGAGGGCTGGTACAAAAGATGGGATTCTTTGCCTTTTAAAGAATTAATGTCATTTCCGGATGGTTCTAAGCCTTTTTTGTGAAAGAAATTCAAAAGTTGAGGGCATAAGGGGCAGGACCAAAAGGTTTGTGAGTCTCTTGAGTGTATACATGTTATTTTGGAACCTAAAACAAGAATGCCGAATAAATCAGATGACCACAAGACCTAAAACTCTCTCATGACTCCATTCACATTACCAAGGCTACGTCTTTGGCTGTGATCATGATCACACAACCTACATAAAGCTAAAAAATGATGCAAGACCGATAATTTCCGTGCACTAATATCCAAACAAGAAAACAATCGTGACCAAGACCAACATCTGAATATAATTTGTTTTTTTTTGATCCAGATCCTCAAAGCTTCCAACAATGCAACATCAGAATCCGATTGAAGTCACACCAAAGGTGAAACAGCAGAACAAGGTTAATAACATACCATAATGGTTTGACCAAGATCAATCATTACAGATCACCTTCTTGGCTTCTTGTTCAGTATCTTTATAGGGTTCTCTGGAGACATTATGACCCCATCTCCACAACCAAGTTTCTGAAACTGCACCGAAATTCGGCCTGCCGAAACAAAACTGCCCAATAGATGACGTGTTGGAATTACGCTTGGACCAAAAAAGGGACTACCACATTCAAAGAGCAAACATTATTAGGGAACCAGAAGAGAAGCTTCAAAAGGCATTTTGATCTTCACTCGTTGACATTTATTTTCTTGTCCGAAAAATCAAGATCTATCATCTGCTGCGTATATACAAGTATTTGGAAAATACAAAAGGTGAGAGAAATAGCAAATTGTTGGACTCTAATGTGATATGATCAGATTCTTTGGTGTTTACTTTGTTCTTGGAACCCAACTGTTTTGTGTGAACCCCGAATTAGGTCCAAGTAATGTTCTCGCACACTAGTAAGTGATTGATCCATCAATATCATCACTTTCCGGGGACGAAGTTGGTGGCGAAGGCCCATGCGTTGTTGTTGACTGGATCAGCCAAATGGTCAGCGAGATTCTCCAACGGTCCTTTTCCGGTGACAATGGCCTGAACGAAGAATCCAAACATAGAGAACATAGCCAACCTTCCGTTCTTGAGCTCCTTAACCTTCAACTCCGCGAAAGCTTCAGGGTCGGTAGCGAGGCCTAATGGGTCGAAGCTGCCTCCTGGGTAAAGCAAGTCCTCTGCTTCTCCCAAGGGACCATTTCCGGGGACTCTGTAACCTTCAACAGCTCCCATGAGGATCACTTGAGTGGCCCAAATGGCCAAAATGCTCTGAGCGTGGACCAAGCTCGGGTTGCCCAAGTAGTCGAGTCCTCCTTCGCTTGAACCAAACCGCTTCTCCGAATTTCACACCGTTCCGAGCCAAAAGCTCAGGGAAAACGCATCCTAGGGCTCCGAGCATGGCCCATCTGGGGTGGATTACTTCTAGCTCACGGTTCCTGGCGAAGGTCTCGGGATCAGCGGATAGACCGGCGGTGTCCCATCCGTAGTCGCCGGGGAACTCTCCAGTGAGGTAGCTCGGGGGCTCGCCGGAGAAAGGACCCAAGTACTTGACCCTGTCGGATCCGTACCATGGGCTGCCTGATGGACCAGTGGGTTTGGTGGCTTTGCGCATGGTGACTCGACCGGTTCCAAAGACTTCAGAGGCCATTTTGATTATTTCTTTAGTTAGTGTTAGATACGTCGAATTGCTGGGCAGGTTGTGAGATAACCATGTCAAAGTTTCTCGTAAAAACAAATAGATTGAAAATGAGGAGTGTCCGTAGTCTAGCCGTATTCATAAGTTCATCAAAGACAAAAAATCATCATTACTTCATCCATTATATGGTACTAGTTGAATTGGCCACGACCACCACAAACTCCTCGACCGTGGTTTCCTCGTCCTCCAACTCGTTCCACCAAAAAGAAGTTTAGGAATGAAAGTTAAACATCTCAATTTCAATAACTCTAGACTTGTTCCAATACAAAAATTGTGGAGTTCTTTTATTATGCGTAATAAAGCATAGAAATTAAAATAAAATAGAAAAACTTAATTTCTCTTCAATACACATTTTTAAAAATCTGTTTTGAAACACTTGGAAGAGATAAACGTAAAAACTTTGTAACACTTTTTGTTTCACCTAAAGTGCTTTGTTTTTCTAGTAGTATCACGTTTTGTTTCACCTTTTTTTTTTGGTCACATACGTTTTGTTTCACCTAAAATGCATAGTGACACTTGATATATATTTTGGTGAAGTTTTGTAAAGTGTAGTTTTGCCTTCCAAACAGTTTTTTAAACAGGAAGGGAAAAAAGGGTCGTTTGGAAACTTTCAAATAAATTCAAAATTGTTTTAAAATATTTCCATTTTAAAATTCGAACAAAATAGTATTTATTTCTGGCAACTCACACAAAGTTTCCAGTGTACAAGTAACAAGTGTCTTCATTACAAGTAAAAGAATCTAGCAGAACCTGATGGACTAGAGAGTGACACGTAGGACAACAAGATGACAAACCCAAAATCTCATTAGCCAATCAGTAAACAGATACAGATACTTGAAAGATAACAAACCTTACTCTTAAGATTTCTATAAAATGCATCTATACACCAACCCTTTTCAATCACTCTCACCAGTCAC